ACGATTTCGGGTTTGTGTGGTGAAGGTGGGTCGTATTTTGCAGCGCTGCAGTCATTTGGTACGTGAGTGTTCCCACACGTGTTCTGTTTTTGGGAATTGTGGGGAATGAAGAGGCGGATATTCATAAACACAACTGATATTAAAATTTTTTTCTAGTCTTATTTTTTTTTTTTCACTGAGGAGATTCATACAAAAATGTTTTCAAATGGTGATTTCATTTATGAAGTGTGACAGTCGGTAGTTTGTTTCCTCATCGCCGTAGTGGATCTTCCTCTTAAGAACAGTAAAGGGTTTCCCACCAGGATCAGCCGGTTCAGGTTTAATCTCAGACTTTTATTACGTGTCTCCAAAACATTTGTGTTCACTACGTGGTGGTGAAAATCCTTGTCCGTGTGCGGCCGTAGTCCCGTTGCCCTGCTGGACGGATGGATTTGAGCAGAATAAATCTGGAAGGGGGCAAATACTTTTTCACAACGCGAGACCAGTTCCCGCTCTTCATCTCCACCAAATCGTGGCCAAATCCGACCATTTGTTGTTTTGCTGTAACAATTCTGAGCCAGCAGCTGTGGGACAGCTATGAACGATTTTTATTGGACTGTTCACAACGTGAACATCTGATTCATGCCTCCAGCAAATGTTAACTTCCTGTTATGGTGAGTGAAGCTCAAATTATGAGGCTTCCTTTATCCTCACTGAGCGGTTTGTACCTAAAGAGCAACCACAAAATCAGTGTTGTAGTGAAAGTCAAATAAAATTGCTTATTCTCGAGTGGCTGGTTTCTCTATGCACATTATGTCCATTTTTAGTCATTTTAGTTACTATTTGGGCCAAATTAGAGAGCGAACACAAGCTTATTATTTATCTAAGTTGGCATTCAGCATATGTTAAATGAAAAAAATTAAGAATTGAGAACCCACCAGATATTGATGTCTGAACTCTTCCTGAGTTAAAACTTTAGCATTGCTGTTTACATATGAATGCATTTTTTTTAAGTCTGAAAGCGCTGCATCTTTTTCATTATTTCAGATTTTCTGCAAATAAATACCAAATTTGTGCTTGGAATTTCAGAGACTTGTCGGTACGTCATGGAATAAAAGAACAATGTTCATTTTACTCAAATATATACCTGACTTCAGAAAGTAAAACCAGAAAAACTGATAATTTCAAGTGGTTTCTTCAAATGTTCTTTTCCAGAGCTGTACATAAACACAGTCAATTACTTCTTGTTTTTTTTGTTTTTTTCTGAGTTTTTGAAAAGAAAATCATATAGCGCCACATTCACTTAAATCAGTCATCTTTATTTTTTTCCCCCTTTTTCTTTAAAGTAGCTGTTTGATGCAAGCATAGTGAAGGTCACTGCCACTTTTAGCATAGGAGTTTAAAGAGTGGGAAGGACTCTTTGACTGCATCCACTGGAGGACCTTGAGAAAATTACAGAAAGTCTGCAGACGGAAGAAAAATAATAAATACATTTTTAAAAATCAGGGAAAGAAATTGAGAACCTGAAGAGCTGGCTGGAAGGCAGTTGTAGGGCCGGCTCCTGGTCCCTGGGAGCTTAGAGGCCAACAATGGGTTTCATTGCTGCTGTCACAGTTACTGCTCAAAATGTGTGTGGAGGAAATGATTTGGTTCCAGCGAGCAGAATCACTTAGACATATTAGCAATAAGAAACAAATCCCTCTCTTGTTTGTTTTTTTTTTCTTCGAAGCCCGGAGAAATAAAGCTAACTCTCCGTCATATTCAGAAGAAAAGAACGTCTTTATCCCATTCCGATAGTGAGCACCGTGCTCGTATTCATTAATTCATGACAATATTTAGAGTGATACTAATTAGGCAGAGAACGCTTTCGTGGTAATGGGTCGCGGATGTGGAGCTCTTGCGTGAGCGTGCATGTTATCCTCTTCTTGTCACAGCTGCTTTTGAAGATCCTAATGTCTTCGAACCCACACATTAGATAGAGACATTACTGTGTCGCCCACTTTAGAAGCCCGTGTGGAATCACTCTCCATCCTCAAAAACTCCAGAGCGGACATCAGAGAGTACGAGCAAAAATATTTCATTTCACGCGAGCCACTTTGAATTGCTTTGTTGGTGAAATCTGCCGAGATAGGAGCGGATTTTCAGTTTAACCCCACAAAGTTGTGCCTTTTAGTTAGAATTTCATTGGATGAAATGAAGTTGGATATAAAATGAACATTAAAGATTGATCGATCAATGCAACGCATTGTTTCGGTCTGTTGTGGTAAAGAAGGGGCTAAACCAAGAAGCTTCGTCTATATTCTTACACTCACCTGTGGTGCGCATGGATCATGACTGAAAGAACAAGATCGTGGACAGAAACAGTTTGCTCTGTCTGCAGGGTGGGTGGTCTCAGCTTCAGACACGGCTTGGCATAAATCAGCTATCGGCCCTCTGAGACGTCTGGATAACAAGTGAATTCTGTGTCTTATTCAGGCGTTCGAGCAGCAAACACCTTTAACTTTGGAGCAACTTTGTTTTGCCGTTTTGGGCAAATTGTTGTCAGCGATTTTGCAGAAGAGAAGAGAGTGACGCCCAACTTTTTGTGAAATGTGCGATGCTGTGAGGCTTCTGCTGCAATATCCAGAAACAAAAAAATAAATAAAAACATCATCCTCTGACTACTTCCTGTCGTCTTCTTTGTCGTTTTCACCAGTGGTAACATTGGATTGTTGATCATGTGACTCAAAGTTTTTCCATTTCATTTAATCCTTCTATTTCGATATGGCAAAAAAAAAAACAAAAAACAAAAAAAAAAACACTGCTTTAATTTCATGGCCAGCTTACTTTTGTTAGTAAGTTCAACTGGGAGAAGAGCTGACGGCAGACGGCGAGAAAGATCGAAAAATCCTCCATTATTCTCTGGGAATTCATGAAATGTCGCAGCACAGAGATGTTCACGCCAAAGATGCAAACCAGCCCATCACTCTTCATAAGTATGCATATAGGAAAAATAATTGCCTCAGCAGTACATAAATGAAGAAGGACTTGATATTTCATCTAAATATTAATGCATGGAAAACTGTCCACAAAATCTATTGTTGAGATGCATTTCTGACACCAGAAATAAAACAACAGTTTTGCTTTGTTTTTTTAACTCCTGCAATATCATATTCCATAACAGAATGGAAACAGGCTTTTGATGATAATAATTACTGGTAAGCCAGCCTCCACAGATTGGACCTCGGTGTCCTTCCCTAAGGGAAGGACGCTTTGACATCTGAACCGAAACGCCGATCGGCAAACCGACACTGCGTCCCTCCTTGTTCTCCTGCGATGTTGCACGCTCGCAGAATTCACCTGGCTGCCTGTTGGCGCTGATACAGCCTCGTTGGAGCGCTATCTGTCTTCCATCCTGTCAACCCCGACATGTTTGTTGAGACGTTGTTCTCTGCGGTGTTTACAGGTCTGATCTGGTTCGCTTAGTCTTAGCCGAGGGAGATAACAGCCGATGTTCGATGTGTGCGTGCCGAACCCGTTTCCTCGATTCCTACATTTCCCACAGATTGTGGTATCTCTCTCTCTCTCTCTCTCTCTCTCTCTCTGTGTGTTAAAATGAAATGAGACGTCTGGATAATGTGTGAATTCAGTAGCGTGGGAGTGTGTCGTTTTCAAGCCTAAAAATTTCCCTCGTACCTCTTATTTTCATCACAAATCAGATGTAAACTGCAAAGCCAGCAGATGGATTCATGAAGTTCTGCTTTAATGTGCACACCGCTGGAAAAGATAGAAAAAAAGAGCATGTTTTAACATAATAGCAGCGAACAGGAAAGACCCCTGTTATCTTAATGAATGCTTGTTAAGCAGGAGGAAGAAATGGACAACTCTGGGACTAAAAAGCAGATGATTGTAATGAGTAGGTGGCTCAGTTCATCAGGTTTAAATGGGAGGTAGACCGAGAATCTCCCTTCACTGCAGTCTTTCACTCCACCACCTCTTTTCCTGTCTTCCAGTCCCAGCCTCTTTTAATTCAGTTATTGTCGCAGCGAGCTTTCTGTCTTTTAATAATATCCTAGCCTAGCCGTGTGGTCAATGACACCGTTGTGGGAATAACAGGCGGCCATAAGGCCCAGGCCTTTTGTGGAGACTGCCACCAGACGCAGAGCGACACGGGATTGGTGGTTAAGCAGTTCATGCTTAATGTGCAAAGTGCTGGATTAGTGATAGGGAAGCATTTGAACGGAAAGAAAAACAATGAAGTGAGCAAAGTAATTAGTGCTGAACGCAGAGGTGATGGATATCACCGTCTGCATATGTAACGTGAAATTGACTGATGGTGATAATGAAAGCTGAATAATAATAATAATAATAATAACAATAAAGCGCTGTCAAAGTGGGTTTTGCTTCAAGTGCTGCGTTGTTTCCAGATATACATTTATGTGCATATAGACGACCCCAGAACATGGTGCTGCCGCCACCGTGTTTTTCACTTCCTCCCACAAGTTTGAATTTTAAAAAAAAAATTTTATTCAATCTTAAATCTTTTCACTCTCACAGTTGCTAGGCAACAGCACATATGTAAGGCCGGCAATACAAATGTAAGGCGACAATTTCATAGACCCAGTCAGTTTTGCAGAACATAAATCTGAAAATGCCCACAGTCCTTACCTCTTGTTTTGTATCTAGCTCCTGACTGATACCTTTAGTCAATCAGATCACTTTTATATTTTTGAAACCTCTCTTCAAGCTTTAGGATGCTAGTAAGCTAATGATAAAAAATCTATATAGGACAATTTCTCTTAATTTCAGGTTAATTAGATGAACTATAACTGATGTGACCTTTGTACCAAGAAAATTTTACCCAGTCAGTAATGCTTAGGACCTCAAGATAAAAAAAAAAAAAAGAACAGACAAGATGACGCTGTATTCAAGATTGCTCAACAATATGGGCAATCTTTCTATATCATATATAGAACAATTCCATGTTTATTTAACGGGCGGCGCTTCAACCCTGATGCCTGTCTCTGTGCGTTTGCTTCCAGGCATGTGGTCCTTCTCCGTTTCTGAGCTCGCCATCCCCGGTGCCGAGATCGGGCGCATCTCCGCGACCGACGCCGACCTCGGCGAGAACGCCAAGCTGGAGTACACCATCCTGGAGGGGGAGACGGGGGAGACCTTCAACATCACGGCCGCGAGCCAGGAGGCGGTCATCACCCTCAACAAGGTGAGAGGAGGAGGAGGACAGCAGAGGATGACGTGGGGTCAGGATGCAGGTGCAAAGAGAGAAAAAAAACCTAAAACAACCCCCAGCTGTACAGGAGAGCTTTTGAAGAGCAGAGGCAGGCGGGGAACAGATGATGAGGGGATGACACAGGTAACGTGGGAAGGTCTTTAGAGCAAAGCTGTTTAGAGTCAAAGCATAGCTAACAACATGTTGTCTAAGCCCATTAAAGTAGAATAACCTGGAAATAAACAGAAACCACTGTAAGCCTGTAAGGTTTTACACAGTTCATCAATTAGCAGCCTTTTCACTCGGCTTACTTTTTTTTTTTCTTCCCGTTTTTGAAACCAGCTAATCTGTATTCATCCTACCTTTTCTCTGCATCCCTCTCCTCTATCGGATAGGCAGCGCTTTGATGGCTTTCTGACAACAACAAGCTCAATTTCTTGCTTGATTCACTCGCAATGAACCAGACTCCCTTTTTTTTCTTAATCAATATTTCCATATGTTTACAGCAAACACAATGAAACATCTGTACGGAAATCAATTAAAGCGCCGCGCATCTAAATGCGAATGCCTCCCTCCGTTTTTTGTTTTTTTTTTAAGCAGAATGCAAAGTACAGAAAAAGTGTTTTGACCGCTGCTGAGGTGTTTTGACTGTTTGCGTGGCTCTTTGCATTCCCATTCGGAGTGCAGCTGCCTAATAGATCCCCGTAGCGTGACGCTGGATCCCTTTGAGGTTCAGAGCCGTGTGCCGTTTCCAATAATCACGCTCCCGTGAAACCGAGGGACATGCGGGAGCGCGCCTGGCTCCGCGCGCCTGGCCCCTCGCGCTCCCGGTGGAGGAGAGGCTGCTGTGTGAAAGCCAGTCTGAGACATGACACTTTAATGTTAAATGAGCTCTTCAGACGCCTCCCCGGAGCTTCAATAAAAACACACAGAATTCATTTTTCATGATGTCAGAAGTGTGTCTGATCCGCGGGGTGTCAGTCACTGAGGGTTTTTTGCCGAACATGACATGGCCGCTCTGCATGTGCTAAGTGCTCTATTATTGAGGCGCGCTGAGCAGGACTGGACCCGACAATGCGCTCTGACTCGGTTCCCCTGCAAAAATGTTCAGGTTTGATATCGTTCATCAACACAAGAGCAACTCGTGTTCTCATTTGTGTTCTTCCAAATTAAAAAGGGGTGGCGCTCATTTTGTATTCGGCCCCCTGAGTTTTATAGATAGAAGAACGTTTTGCTGTAATTAAAGCTACAAGTTTTAGTTTTTGTTTGTTTTGTTTTTGTTTTTTTACGGGATTTTCATATCTAATCTCTGAAGTTTAAGCCATTCTTCTTTGTAAAATAGATTCAGCTTCCAACTGCAGTAGGTAACTTTCACACAAATTTGAATTTTTATCTATTTTTTTTTTATATTTGTTAAAACTATCCCTGTTTTGTGACAGTATTACATGAGTCAGATATTCTGTGAAAAAACTGAGCTGCTCCCCACCGAAAATTTGAAGAGCACGGATTATTTCTTCTTTGGGTTGGTCTGACTCATAGAATCACAAATATTATTTCTGGTCTGTGTTTGTACTCGGGACAAAATGCGTGGACGTTATACCGAAGTTCTGTACGTGTGAAGGAAAGTTCACAGAACTGGATAGTGAATTGATTAAACTGTTTAGAGGTTTATTTAACTTCTTCAAATCTGTGAAATCTCTAATCTGCCTTGGGAAAATTTGATTACATGTCTAAACGGAGCGATGCCAACCTGACAACAGCAACCAAGAGAATAAAGTAGGGCGTGCTAATAAGTCATTCTGCTGCTCATGAGGATTTGATATTTTGAAAATCAGGTGTTTTTTTTTTTTTCCCTTCTTGACTAATGCATTCTTTGTGCTTCCATACATCAGAGTGATGCCAGTCTGTCCAGGGCCACCATCTTGTGTTACAGCTTGTATTTGGTTGAGCTTTGAATTTAGGTCGACTGCCAAAAGGGATGATTGAAATAAAAGTTTTATTTCTCAGCCCTAAAATAAAGTCAGGGAAGCTTTTGAACCTCGTTCAACAATTCCTATGCTTCTCCATTCATTTACATCATACTTTTAGTTTTCACAAACAGCCAGCACAATGAGTCATCAGGTATCGAGTTTCAGTTTTATTTTTTTATTTTTTTAGAGTATTCAGAGTGGTTTGAAAATCATTTTTTGGCCTAACTGAATTTGAAAACGTCTTCTTTTTGTTTGTTTTTTTCTTTTTCTTTTTTAATTATAGGCTTGCTTTGTACAGAAAATTACTATGGTCACTGAAAAAAATTATTTAATTGTGACCTTTTTTACCCCTCCAAATTCTTCCTTCAATGCCAGAATTGTGCATTTAATCTCACAGTTTTGACATGAGATTCTGAATTCTGACTTGTTTTCCCACAAAATTTTGACATTAGTCAGATTTCTAACTTTAATCTCACAACTTTTCCTCAGAATTTTGACTGTAGTCTCAAAAATCAGGGATTAAAGTTTTTCAGGGGCCCTAATCGCGTAGCGTTGATATCAAAATTAGTTTGCCTCTGAAACAATTAAGCGCGACTGAAAGCAAAAGTAAAAGAAACCTGCTGCGCCCCGAACACTGCGGCTTTTAGAGGTAAGTCTAAAAATATCGACAGTCGACGTTTTACACAATCGTTTCTCTGATTTGTTGCTTGTGAGGCTGTTGAGGCGCAGGGCGATATGTAGAGCAGGGAACCCAGACCCTCAGAAAGCCTCTTTGAAGAGAAGCAAGTTGAGGAGGCGGAGCTGTAAGACGCAAGAGGACAAGAGGAAAGAAATGGAAGGTAAGCACCCCGGAATGATGAGGGAGAAAGAGACGTGGGGATGAAGAGATGGCAGCAGTGAGGGGAGCGTGTTTAAATGAGGTCCTGCAAGGCAGTGACAGGAGAGAGTGCTCTATAACAAGGGAATAAGAGGCAGAGGGAACTAGAGAGAGAAAGAGAGATGTGCAAATAGACAGGGAGAGAGATGCACAGACAGCAAGAGCTGTGAAATCAGTGACAGCCTCGCACAGAAAAATAAGCACAGCCAGAGAGTGAGAAGCGCGGGAGGGAGAGGAGGAAGGGATACACAGCTAGGCAAGCAGGCTAAAATGGAAAAAGAAAAAAAAAACATAGTCGGGATGAATTTAACACAGGGAGCATATCTTGGTGAGAGAGGAGGACATTGGGGGCAAAAGTATGACAGGATAAGACAGAGAAAGTAAAGGAGGTGTTTACCAGGGAATAGATAGCGTACAACAGGCAGGGGGTGAATTGGACCTACAGGAAACAACTGCAGGGAGTGTATCCCGCCCACAACGCCAAGACAGGAACCTGCAAAAATATTCCTGCTTTTTAAACTTTATTTTCTCCCCATTTTGTCACGTTGCAACCTCAAATTTGACGTATTTTCTTAGGATTTTACCGCTGACGGACACAAGCGCACAGCGCAAAGATGGTGTTGAACGCATGACAACATTAAAAGCATCAAAATTATCATTATTTTGTGGGTCCAACGAGTGGCAATGAACGGGCAACTTCAAAACGCCATGAAAACGAAGGGCAACAGCGTGGTGTTTGTGCAACTTCAAAGTGAAAAGAAATGAGATGTACTTTGTTTTTTTTCGGGTTTTTTTGCTAATTAAAATCTGAAAAGTGCGGCATGAATTCATAATAAGCCCCAGTCTTAAATCGTTCGGTCTGAGTCAGATTGGATGGAGAGAGGAGCCAAACATAAATTTTAAGTCTTGTGTTTTTTTTCTTTAACATTGTTTTAATTCAATATATTTCAAAGTTTCAGCTCGTACAGATGTTACACAGACTCAGATCCCAAACACCGTCGCATAAACAACAAACAACAGACGGCAACACTCATGAGGGTCCTTCTGCTTTCTCACTTTCAGGATGGGTTGCATTTTGTCTGCGGTCAAACAGGCGGTATTGTTCATGGAGAACCTTGGTCTCAGTATCAGAGATTATATTCTCCCACAACAGAAGTGATGGCGGCTCATCACTTTGTCAATATGTGGTTCTGTATGTATTTTTAATGAATCAGGTGGAAGTGAATGCGTCAGGCTATAGCCTCTGTCCTAATCCTCAATGCACACATGGGACCAAGCTGCTGAATCTCCTGACGAACCAAGAGAGGAAGAGTTTTTTACACTTTAAAAAGTTTTGACCAAACCCCCACAAAATGCATATTTTCTGTGCATTCATTGAGGTATACTATCTTTATTTATAACATTATGCCACTGTATCTGTTGCTGATTGATACCTGACTTTTTAAAAACAATACACACCAATAATTATTGTTTTTTTTATTTTATGAGTTTCATTTTGCCATGTCTGATTAACTTAGTAGACAGATTTGTATACTTAAATTGTTGGAAGTTACTGTTTTCCATTGCTACTTAGACGAAGTGCAAACACAACTCACAACTGGGGTTTTGAGCTTTCGCTAAGATGTTTTCCTCTGACATTACCACGTCTTTAATTCCATCTGAAAAAGAATTTAAAAACAGTCACACAGGCTGATGCTGCCACCACCGTGTTTGACATTAGGGATGATGTGTTCAGGGTGATGAGCATTGTGAGTTTTCTGCCACTCAGCATTTTACACCGCAGACTCTGAAGGGAAGTTGTTGCGCACGATTTCCTTCCGGGGTGGCAGAGGAAAAATTACGTTGAATACGAACGAATGCCACACTTTTCATTATTTGTTTCTCTTGCGCTAAATGGGAAAAGATGCTTGAAGTTTGTGATGGTGACGTGACGAAATGCAAGGAAAGTTCCTGAAGAATTCGCCTTTGTTTTGTTTTTTATCTATTTTATCGGTCTGCCAAGACATGAAAAGAGGTCGGGAAATTAAGTTGTCACAGCCATGTTTGATAGAAAAGTAATAAAATCTAAATCACCGAGCTCTTGGTGGTTCGTTTGGAATCTTTGGAATAAAATTAACATGGCCGCCTTTTGTTCCTAGTGGAGGCTT